TTCAAGTCCTCTTTCTGAGGAAGTTGCTTCTGCTGCCTTACAGGTTGATTTGAAACTTGGCTAAATAATGGGGTGCAGCACTGTTTGCAGCGACCTGTGATAACACCAAAATCACAACGTACAGTATATGCAACTATGTCATCATGCAACTGTCACAATTACATACTTGCAATCTGAGAACAAATATATAAGTTACAGCACTTGCATGATGATGTCACATGCAACATATTTGCCTCTTCCTCACCTCACCTTCATAGTGTTGCTGCTGTGGGCATAAATTGAAGGAAGATCTACATGCTGGTCACCTTGAGCACTTGGAAGAAAGAGGGGATATAAATCTAACGTAGAAGCAAAAATGATAAATAAATTGATGTTATATTTGAGTAGTGAGGTGGCTAAATTTGTTTGTGATACCTAACCATTCTAGGTAGTAAAATAAAACACATCAATTTTGGTAATATCAACATTCTGCTCCATTTGCAACTTTTATTTTTCCATAAGTAGAAAAGCTGAGTGGCAACATCTGGAGACCCTGTCTGGGCTTGGAAGGTAAGGAGAGGTTAGTAGTTGGATGGGATACAGCAATAACATTCTGCAACAGCAATACAATTTAGTAGCAAATTATGGGAGACCATATACAGTAACTACAGTACAATCCCATGTATGTTTACTTAGAGTTTTCTGTAGGAGCCATTCCTATACAAATGTTGTCTTTTTTCCACTTATGTGGAAGCAAAACCACTGAACATAATTCAGATTTACTCTGAATCAATAGGGTGTACTGAACATGCTTAGAACTGCAGAATGGTTGCTCTGAGTCTGCAAGAAAACCAGTTATCTTACCAATTCATTGCTTCAATATGTCTTTTAAGAAGCATCATTTTCAATAGTCTCAGATCTGTTGTCCATACTAACAACACGTTTTCACAGCATCACTGGAATGCTTTTACTTGCAGCTGTCATATCATGACTCCCATGATATCCAGTCTTAGAGGATAAATTATCAAGATTTTTTAAGCAAATGAGGCATATCTCAGATCCCTGTTGTTCTCAGCATGAGTCATTGATCTCACCAGGCCACATTTTCAGGATAAAGAAGCCAAGAGCACTCAAGTTAAGAAAACACAAAACCCGGGCCACATCATATGTGTGCGCTATTTCTCTAATCCCATCTCTCTGTGAACATCCTTGTGAGCATCCTTCTGAAAGATCCACATGACACTTTGCAGAATAAATACACCAGAGACACAAATCAAAACAGCTATTGAGGATTTGGCCTTTTTGGAAAGGACTTTATTTGAGAGACAGAAATAATATTCCCTTACCCGTTTAATGCTGAAGAAGCTGCAGGCCCCCAACTTCGCTACAGTTCAAGGCACCATGAATCTATTCTGCTAATTTCCAAGTATTTTTGGAACTGTATGGCAATCTGTATATGTAAGGAGTGGTCACAGCTCAACAGTAGAAAACATGCTTTACATGCAGAAAGTCCCAGGTTCAATTCATCTCCAATAATGAGAGAGCAGATGAAGATCTCAACTCAAGAACCTAGGGTAGAACATCTGTTCAGAATGTACTGTAGAAACAGAAAGACTACATTCAGGTTTTCTAACTACTGGGTTTTGCTGGGGAGGGGGGTTGGGGGGGAGGAACCAGCTGTAGTTCACGCCTAATGCTAAACCATAATGGATGGATTCATATAACATGCTAAGACAAAACCCGCCAACCACACTATTGCGTAATGTGATGTATGACCCCCATATATTATAATTTATCTGAAATTAATCTGATTTCAACTAGTTTGTCATGTTCTTGGGTAAGCAAGAAATATAACCTATTAACAGTAAGGATATTCAGACAAGGTCTAAATGTTTTCCTGTGATCTATAGTAATGGCTCCCAATTTATGATCTGGGGATTATTGGTGGCCCATGAGGGCACTTCAGTAGTCACTGGTTTAGATATAAGCAGACACTTAGGTAGATAGATGCCAAGATTTTCCAATGTTTAGAGATCCAATGAAACAATATTATATGTTATTTATTTAAATTACATGCTGAATATTTCATGAAAAATGTTCGACTAGAAGAAATAGAAATTGGAAATTACTGGGACAAAGATCAACAACCTTAGATATGCTGATATGACTGACAGCTGTAAGTGAGAAAGACTTATGGAATCTCTTGTTGAAAATGAAAAAAGAGAATACAAAAGCTCGTCTGTTTATGACAACAGGCAGTGTCAACTTAATGCTAATGCAGGTAGTCCTCGCTATCCAACCACAATAGGGAGCAGAATTTAGGTCGCTAAGTGATTTGGTCATTAAGCGAACTGGAGCTGATTTCATGACCTTTTTAATGATGACAGCTAAGCAAATCACGACTGTCATTAAGCGAATCACATGGTCATTAAGTGAATCCAGCTTTCCCAATGGACATTTTTTCTGGAACTCGTTTAACAGCCACATGATCTGCTTAATGACCATGTGATTTGCTTAACGACCAGTGATTCACTTAATGATCATCGTAAAAAAGGTTGCAAAACACTTTTTCCCAGGCCGTTGTAACTCCAGACCATCGTTAAATGAATGATCATTAAGCGAGAACTACCTGTAGGTAGAAAAGTAGAAATACTTTTTTGTATGCCTAGGCTCACAGGTGTGATGAATGTAGCCATGAAATCAAGACATATCTGCTATTTGGAAGGAAGACAAAATATTAAAAGTACAGAGACACTACGCTGTCAGCAACAATTCATGTTGTCAAGGCCATGGTTTTTCCAGGTATAATGTGGCTGTGAAAGCTGGATTATCAGAAACGCCAAACAAAGAAAAATAGTTGCTTTTGAATTACGGTGCTGCAGAAAATTTTTGAGAATCCCTTGAACCACATATGCAACAAATAATTCAATACTAGATTGTGTAAAACCATACTGGAAGCAGTAATAATGAAACTAAAGCTTTAATGGTTTGTACATATAATGCAACATCAACAGTCAGTGGAGATGACCTTGATGCTTGGAAAAATGGAAGGCATTTGAGAAAGAGGCAAACATAAGATGAGGTGGCTATGCACAATCACTGATGAGATAAGCAGGAACTTAAAGAAAATATGAAGTAGTATAAAATAAATCAACACAGTGTAGAAACCTATCACATATTTGCTATAATGCCTCACATAAAGTGCCTTGAACATCTCAGAAAAAGTGGAGAAAATATAAAGGAAGGCAGGCAAAGTAGTCCTTTGATCATTAGCTCTTCTCTCCAGCCAAAAGAAATGTTTTGAATGTATTTAAATATATTATAAAGATACATTGATTCACTGAGGCCTCAGGAGATAATAATATTTCTAAGATCAAATATATGAATACTCCATGAGATAAGTTCAAATGCTAAATTGAAACTTAATACTGGACACAGAAAGGTCCAGTACATTTATAGCAGAATTATAATTTAGCTGATCTAGAGCTCTCATATGGCAAGGCTTGGATCTTCTTACTAGCTCTTGCAAAATACTTCTTGGTGCACAGGCCTGGAAAAATTGTATCGGAGCGGTGTTATTTACAGTCTTCACATTATTAGTGTTGTTGTTTAGAATAGTTTCTATGCCATTTCTATGCCTGGCACTAGCCTGGACGATTGCCATTTTTGTTGCAGGCCAGGGCTTGCATAATGACATGAAACTCAGGATAGTTCTCTCTTTTCAGATGACATACCGGCTTAAGTGAAACTAAGAAACAGGAGGGAGTTGGGAAAATCAGGCGTGCAGTGTATAAAGTTTATTTGTGATCCAGTTTGATTTACTTATACAGGTAGTCCTCATTTAGCAATCACAATTGGGAATGGCAGCTTGGTCATTAAGTAAAGTGGTCACTAAGTGAAACATCATGATTTTATGATTTTACTTCAGCTTTCCTTTGCTTTACCAACCTGCAAAGGTCAAATATGTGAGGACTGGTTGCAAAGTTACTTTTTCATCACTGTCGTAACTGCAAATGTTCACTAAACAAGGACTACCTGTAGTTGCCTAGTTATAGGTTAAATACATTCTACATGCTTTGCCACATATGGAATATGTGTTGCTTTACCTAAAAACAGAGAGCATGATTTTATCATAAACTTTATACCACCCAATCGAAAAAAATTCTACCAATGCGTATAGGAAAAAAAAAAGCTTTTTTGAGCAATCCTACCCTCAAAACCTGAACCCTCTATTGAATCTAAATTCTTGGAAATGAAGGAGAGATATCTGCACATCTCCATTCTCTTCTGGACCCATGCTTACTTAAAACACACACACAGAGAACAAACCAGGAAAGGAAAAACATGTAATCCAACAAAATGGCTCACCTAAATATCATACAGATTTGTTGACATGGAGATAGGTTGAAGGTGTCTTAGGAGTTTGCTGTTCCCAAGCTTTTCCACGAGTTTCCCAGCTAACCCTTCCCAGATTCCTTTTTGGATACTCTCACATTTAGTCATTATAAGCAGCCAACCTTGAAATACTAATGGTAAGGGAGGGAAGGAGATCAGATGTCACGTTCCCACCTCAATGATGGAACTGATACTAGAAGCAGGAAAATAATCCAGCCAACGTACCTTGGAAGGCTGTCTCAGGAACACAGTATGGAAGACTTTATTTAAAGACTCTTGCTGACTAACAACACAGTCACACAAGGAAATGAGCCACACATTTGGAATGAGATGACCCTGATAAACACTCCAATGTCTTGACACCGGTCACAAGAAAGAAATTCCAGATGGTAGAAAACCAACAAGGCAAAAAAAGTTAATGCTCTCTTCAGTACACTGTGAACAACATAGGTAGAAAAATGGGATATTAATAATTAGATATTATTATTACCATCATTCAAACAGATTAAGTTCTATAGTGCAGTATATTCCGCTGAACCATCAAGGACTCTGCTGCATTTTTATTTAACATAAAAGTGTTAAATAGCAACATCACAGAAATGCTTTAAGCACATTTTGGCACTTACCAAACAGACGCTGATGGAAAAGAAACTTGCCAGTTATAAGCCCCGTGAGGATGGCAAGTAGCCACAAGGACACTTTTAAAAACTTCCAACCACCTCCGTCAGGGTATTTATTTGCTATGAAGGAAAAGCAGTTTCCAACAACAATGACATTTGCTTCCGTTCGGCTGTGGGATACTGGATCCTCAGCAAATATTAAAAAATTAAAGAAGATCACTAGGTAGGCCACAATTAAGCGAGACCAGGGATGCTGGAAGTAGTAGCGGAAGTCTTTTTCCATTCTCAAATGCTTCAGTTCCTGCATACAGAAACAAAGCATGGGAATATTCCATTATATTCTTAAACTCAGGAAGCTATATTCATTTCCTTCTCTTTTCCCAACCCCATTTTCCTTTAGCAGGCCTCAGAACCAGCTGTCTGTTTCAACCTGATTTCTCCCCAAATGATGATTAAACACATTGTTGCTCCCACGTCCTGGCCAAACCCATGCTAGTAGGAATAGAGAGAGAGAAAGTGACTGGCCCAAGGTCATACAGCTGGTGACCTAGCCTGATGCCTTAACCACTACACCAAACTGGCATGCATATGTATTAAAAAGTGATCCCTACTAGCTGCTGCAATCTTGCCTAGAAGCCAAAAAAACTTACTATGATGCAAGAAGCATTTCTCTCGCAAGATAGCATTTGACTTCTGCAAAGCCTCATTTTCAAATTAATACTGAGAACTAAGATGACATGATCATTCAATTCCTTTTTGTTAATAAAGCCCTTTCAAAAACTTCTATAATGGAAGACAAATTGAGTCAAATTTGATTGCCATTGGTTATGTTAATAATTAGCTAATAGACTACACTTATTCGTACAAGTGTCATTTAGGATAGAAATAAATATATTGAATATGGATGTGTAAAATGTATCAGATTACACATACCTATGTGTACACATTCTCAATTATTATTCTTCCCTTTTGGGGGGGGTTTAGTTTTCTTTTTAACTCTTTTTCTTTGTAGTGCTTGTTTTCACTTTTCAACAACAACAACAAATTAAAAAAGAAATGGAACAGTTACACAAAAGAGTTCCAACTATAATCACTTCCTCATACCTCAACTCTATTTTTACTTAGACATACAGACCACATTTCAGCCCTGAGATCCTCACAGCTGTTAGTAGAAAATCACGACAAGTCATAAAGTGCCATAAAATACAAATATAGTCTAAGCAAATAGCAATTAAGTTGCTGGAAAGCCTGAGAGAATGTGAATGCACCTTGACATCAACTAACTACAACCCAACTTTTGCTACCCAAAAAACAACTCTACATGCAGTATTTTGTGGTGAAAAGGCTACATGTGTGATGTATTTGGCCAGGGGATCTAGTAACATAGGTATGGACCCTGCCAAATGGCTGTATTGCTAGGGAAATTAAGTGTGCTCTTCTGTAGATTATTGGGGGTGGAGTGGGGTGGGGAGGTATGGTTTTTAAAGTTTTTTAAAAACTTCAAATGATTTTTAACATTATTTCTGTTATGTTCTTGGTTATTTTCTAGTATTGTTTTTGTGTTTTTTAACTTTGTACACCTCTCAGAGTCACATATGTTAGATGGGCAGCTATATAAATTTAGGAAGGAAGGAAGGAAGGAAGGAAGGAAGGAAGGAAGGAAGGAAGGAAGGAAGGAAGGAAGGAAGGAAGGAAGGAAGGAAGGGAGGGAGGGAGGGAAGGAGGGAGGGACCAACCATCACAACCGCACATATAGCAAAGCATGGTGTTAAACTACCATGGGTTGTAATCTGTACACAGGGTTCAACTATTTCCTACAGTGAACTGTTTCCCACATAACAAATTACAGGCAAAGAAAAGGGTGATGTTATAATGTAATTTCCATTAAAAAGAGCACAGGTCCAAACCCGGTCTTTAAGCAGAACATAAGTACTCTTCTGCATGAGACCAAAAGCACATATAGTACAGCACACATCAAAATGTGCATAATCAGAATTGTTCAGGAATGCACAGGAGAATAACAGTCCTATTCCTCTGATGCTCTTTGGCAGATGGAATTTATTATCTACTCCTGGTGATTCAGTCTTAAGACTGTAGCCACTGATAACTCCATCCTACATGAATTTTCTGGTCCAGGTTTAGAGCTGTCTACATTGGTTACAATCACCATCTCTGATGGCAGGAAAGGTAAAGGTATATTTCTTATTATTGGTCCAAGGGAGGAAGCTTAGTTGGCTGGGCTGGGAAATATTTTTTTTAGAGATCCAATGTCAGAATGCATAAGTCAGGGCTCAGTATTAGCAGATAGAATATACACAGGAATGCTGTCAATTTACAAAATGACTTTGGGCATCCTAAGGTCAATGAAATTCCAAAGATTTCCATACAAGTATTATTAAGACTCTGATCTAATATATTCTGATATATTCTGGGAAATATGAATTTCGTTATTTTTTAAAAAAAAAATCTGTTCAATCGTGTCCAATTCTTGGAGACTGCCTGGACAAGTCCCTGCAGTT